CATTATCTTCTCTTGTCTTCTTGTCCCTCTAAATGAACCCCGTGTATCCAATCTCTCTTGTACTCTTTGTATTACATTATTATAGGTGTGTGTGTGGGGGGGGGGTATATGTGTGTGTGTGTGTGTGTGTGTGTGAGAGAGAGAGAGAGAGAGAGAGAGAGAGAGAGAGAGAGAGAAAGAGAGAGAGAATGGGAGTGCACAGGTCACTGCATGCATATAGACACTACAGGACAATTTTTGTGAGTTGGTTCTAATCTTCCACCATGTGGATTCCAGGGAGTGAACTCAAGTAACCAGGCTTGGCAGTGAGCACCTGTTCCCACAAGCCAAGTGCCACGATACTGACTCCCATTGAGTAGATTTTTGTTATTTATTTACAACATTGCCACTTGCAGATTTGGGTTAAACAAGGATTGCTTTGTGTTTGTTTGTTTTTATGTTTCTTTCTTTCTTGAGAAATTGTCTCACGTGTTGCAGGCTGATCTTCAATTAATCCACTGTGTAGCCAAGGATGCCCTTGAATTTCTGAACCTCCTGCCTCTCCTCTCCCTCGTGTTGGGATTACAGGCCTACACCTCCACACTTGGTTCTATGTAGTGGTGGAGATCTAAACTAGACAAACATCCTACCAACTGAGCCACTTCCCTGGCCCCCAAAGGTAATCTTTTAAAGCATGGATTTGGATTTTAAACTACAACTACAGAGATGGATTGCCTTGTCTTGGCTATAATCATGAAAGTGACCTAGGACCCACAAAACACAGCAAACTTGATCTGATTCTCACAGGTTTTCGTCTGCTTCATATCTAGTAACCAGCCACATGTACTAAGCTAACAGTCAGTGTAACTCAGATGAGGGGTGACTACAGATAAGAATGCAAGAATGGAGTTTCTCATAATACTAGCACTTGGGAGGCAGGTGGAGCTCTGTGAGTTTGAGGCCAGCCTGGTCTACAGAGTGAGTTCCAGGACAGCCTGGGCTACACAAGGAAACAACCTTGTCTCAAAAAAACAAAACAAAATAAAACAAACAAACAAAAAAAAAAACACAAAAAAGCATGAATGTGGAGAACCATTAAAACTGGGTGAGGGGACTATAGGAATTCACTATCCTATCTATATCTATCATCTATCTATCTATCTATCTATCTATCTATCTATCTATCTATCTATCTGTTTAAGGCAGGGTCTCACTATGTAGCTGAGTCTGGAACTTACTACGTACACCAGGCTGACCTGGAACTCAAAGAGATCTGTCTGCTCTGGTCTCCCCAGTGCTGAGTCATTATACTCTTTATTTCATATGTGAATTTGATTTTTATTTTTCAAAATGAGACTAGTCTAGCAAATTGCTAAATGACTTTGAAAGAAACTCATAATGTCTTCCACTCATGAATTACTTTCTTTCTTTTTTTTTGACAGGGTCGGCTCTGGCTGCTCTGGAATTCACTATATAGACCAGGCTGTCTTCAAACTCAGAGATCCCCTGCCTCTGACTCTGCCTCCCAAGTCCTGGGATCAAAGGTGTGTACAACCATGGTCAGGCTATGAGTTAATGTCTTTAAGAGGGTGAAGTGATAAACTAAAAATAGTTAACTTTCTACCCTATTGCCTTACCAGCACATGGTACTGAAAGAAGTAGAATATTCAGTAACTGGAAAAGGTTTAGATCATGACAGTTTGCTTCTTCTTCAATGTGAGAGAGGTTTCAAATATCTTTTTTTTTTTTTTTGAGATAGGATTCCCTGTATGTTCCCAGGCTGGCCCCAGACTCCCAGATTCAAGGGACCCTCTTACCTCAGTAGCTGTAACAACAGGTACATAACACTGCATCCCCAAATTGATTGACTTTCAGCACTTCATTAAAAAAAAGAAAGAAAGAAAAGATATGTTTTCTTTATGCATACATTGACACATTACAGGTAGCCAATAAATATATTGCAGTTATATTTTTATTTATTAATTAAAACAAATTTAATTTTAAAGAAAAATAAAAAAAATGTCTGAAATTCCAGAATTAGGGGTGGGGGCATAAGGATCTAGGAGTTGAGCTTCAGCTGCATATCAAATTCAGAGCAGCCTATGCTATGAGAGACCCTGTTTCTCTCCACCCCAAAAACAAACACACAAAAACCAAAAATAAAAACATACTCCACTGCCCAGAGAACAATCCCACTATACCCTAAACAAATAATTGAGCTACAATAAATTATCTCATGTGTCTTGGCAATTCTTTTTATCTCTGAAATGCAAAGTAGTAGTTTATCATAAGTTAACAAAGCAAATTTTCTCAAACTATAATTGGTACAATTAGCATACAGTTGAAAGAACATTTTTTTATATGGATAACGCAATGAAGAAACATCTCATCACGTAACAAATCTTTTACTGAAAGTGTGACGTTTCAAAACCAGTAGTATTAGTTTATCACAGTATCACAGTGATGCTAACACTAGAAAAGTGCAGGCAAGAGAATGCAGAGTTCAAAGTCTCCTTACCTATATAGCAAGTTGGAGGTCATCCTGGGATACATTAAATCCCCCACCCCCGACCCCCACCCCCCCCACCCTCTCACCCCCGCTTCAAAAAAAAAAAAAAAAAGTCTTATTGTACACACCTTTAATCCTTTAATCCTAGCATTTAGCAGACACAGGCAGTCTGAACTCTGTGAATTCAAGACCAGCCTGGTCTACTTACCGAGAGTTCTAGGCTAGCTAGAGTTACAGGATTCGATGATATCTCAAAAATAAACAACAGATAGAAAGATGGTTCAGTGGTTAAGAGCACTGGCTGCTCTTCCAGAGGTTTGATTCCCAGCACACACATGGCAGCTCACAACCATTTTGACCTCCAGTTCCAGCGGATCTGACACCTTCTTTTGGCCTCTTCAGACACTAGGCATGCTTTTGGAGTTTGTGTGTCTATACAGGCAGGTAAAACACCCATACTCCTAAAGAAAATCAATCTAAAAAGACATAACTAAATAAAGAAATATGAAGTTTCTCAAGTCTCAACTCTAGGTAGTCAGGAATCATTGACTCATGCACATTCTAGTCCCTTGGCCATGTCCACAAACCTGGGTTAGGACTTTTTCATCCTCTGGAAAGAATGTGGCTGAGACAACACTCAGTGGTAGAGAACAAGCTTAGTGCTCTGAGTTTGATCCCTAGTACCAGGGTGGTGGGGGAGAATACTCCACAGCAAAAAGAAACCTCATTATCAATGGTGGACACATGGGTACCAAGGACAGAACTCAGGTCCTGGTTCTTATACAGTATGTACATTACTGACTGAGCCATCTCCTTAACCCCACTAGCAAATGCTTATTGAATTTTCTTTGCCTGGATGATAAGAAAGAATAAGTACTTTTGAATAGTTTCTCTTTTTAATGTAGTTCAGTTGCTGACACTAACATGGGGGATGACCAGCTTTCTGGAATTTCCCAAAGAAGAAAACTTAGGTTTATTCCAGACAAGACATTACATCATTATCTCAATAGAATTTGAAGAAAAAGTAGTTCAAGGAAATAGCTCCCTATGCTTTGTTTTGTTTTGCTTTGTTTAGACAGGGTCTGACTATGTAGAACTGGCTGGCTGGTCTGGAATTCAGGAATTCAGAGAAATCTGCTTGCCTCTGCTTCCCCAGTCCTGGGATTAAAGGCCTGTGCCATGGTGACCAACTGTATGAGTGTTCTGCCATATAATACTTCTAAGCAGATCTGTTAGAAAGGAATAGAACAGGGGCTGGAGAGATGGCTTCGTGGTTAAGAGCAATGTTACTCTTGCAGAGGACCTGGGTTTGGTTTCCAGCACCACACAACGGTTCACAGTAATCTGTAATTCAGTTCCAGAGGAAGTAACATCCTCTTCTGGCTTCCTTGGTCACTGCACATATGGTGCACAGACACACAAGCAGGTAAGATCATACATGCAAAGAATTTTAGAGTGTGTGTGTGTGTTGTTTTTAAGTGCTAGAGGCCAAGCAGTGGTGACCCATACCTTCTATCCCAGCATTCAGGAGGCTGAAGCAGGTGGATCTGTGTAAATTCGAGGCCGGCTTGGCCTATCGAGCTAGTTCCAGGACAGCCAAAGCTACACAAAGAAATCCTCGGTGTGTGTGTGTGTGTGTGTGTGTGTGTGTGTGTGTGTGTGTGTGTAACTGCCTGGTCTTACTAACAAGAAATTAACATCTTCAAGTCTAAAACTTAATTTATTATTTTGAAGTGAGAGAAAGAAGTATAGGAAAACCAACTAATTAAAGCCTTAATGCAGTGAGGCTGAAGAAACTGGTAAAATCGTTTCCCTGCCTCCAAAGTCAATTTGAAGGGATCATGTGAATTCCTCCAAAGGGTTAGTATTTGGGTAATTCTGAACATTTAAAGGTCAATTGGACCCAGGTGTGGTGGCACACGAATTTAATCCCACCATTTAGAGGTAGAGACAGGCAGATCTCTTTGAGTTCCAGGCCAGCCTGCTCTAGCCAGGACTGTCAAAGAAACCGTTTCCTCCCCCGCCCCACAAGCTAAACAACGACAAACAAAAGAACAATTGGAATTCAATTCATTCAATAAACCTTATTAGTGGTTCTTGCTAGTGTGTGCTACACCTTTCCAGGAGAGTGGAGGTTCTCACAATGTGGGAATCTAGAACATTCGGAGAATGGGCTAGCACTGAGGCTCTGCTTGGCTGGTCAGAACAAAAGCCTCCAAACCAACCGCATTTTCCCACTTCATCACAGTCCTTTCTGACTCTGGCAGGGAAACGCAGCCACCCAAAGTGGGAAGCCAACTGAGCCTCAGCAGCTTCTCCTAGGAGAGCCTCTGCGTCGGACCGGACCCGCCCCGCCCCGCCCCGCCCCGCCCCGCCCCTTTTTTGCTCTCGGGGCTGTGCCCGAGGCCCCGTCCCTTCCCTGCAATTTCATTGGCTGTGGTGACCGGCCCCCCGAAGAACTGTTTTTGATTGGTGATTGTCGCCCTCCGCTGGGCGTCTTCCCGGGGCGTGAGCCGAGCGTGGCCACGCCCCTTACGTCGGGACGCTCAGTCGGCCTCGGGAGGCGCAGCATTCGCCGCCTTAGAAGGAAGGAGGTCCGTTGTGTGAGGAAGCTGCTATGGTGCTGAGTTCCTGGGTAGAGTCGACCGAGCCGAGGCGGTCGCGGCCATGAAGGTGAGGGGCTGGTGGAGCCGGGAGGCCCTCCTCGCCTCTCCCGTGCGCCCGCCCGCCCGCCCGCCCGGAGCGCCTCCTTTCTCTCCGTCTCAGCGGTTGCCTGGCAGGTTCCTGAGAGACCACCGCTGTGGGGGGCGCCCGGACCGGTTCCATCCGGAGAGGCCGGGCTAGCGGACCCGCCCGAGCTCCCACAGCGCCCCCCGGCGGCCTGGCCAAGGAGGAGGCGAGTGGCCCTGAGGTTGCAGCCTGCCCGGCCCTGTTCCCCGGCCCTGTGCGTCTCTCGGGGTCCCGAGATTTTCAATCCGCTAGAGCTCCCCTCAGGCCTCGGTGCCTCTGCCCACGGCCGTGCCCTCTGCTCCCCGAGTCCTTGAGCTAACCCAGATGTGGGGGGCATCACGGGACAAGAGAGGCAGAGAGATCGGTGCGGGGAGTGATGAGGCTGGGACCAGGTTAACCCGGCTAGAAATGCCAGGGGTTGGGTTCCCCCCAGTAAGTTCTTCTTCCGTGGGTTTAAACGCCGTGGCCGTGACCTAGAGCGCTGGAAGTGTCTCTCACCACTAGGTACGCAGCAAGTAATTTGGCAGCCTTTCTCCCAGGTGGGAGCGAGAGCGTGGGCATCACTGATAGAAGTTTCAGAAAAGGGGAGGGGGTGTGTGCGTGATTTTGGCCTACTTTGGGGAGATGATTTTTCCTCAACTTCATCACAGAGAGTTCTGAAGAGTCCTTGTAAGCAATCAATTTAGATATTGATTCATTTGCCCAAATCAAACCAAGTGGTGTTGAGTCAGAAGGTAATGAATGATACCTCTCTCCACAGATGGCACTGAAGAAGTGTGTTGGCTTTGGGCTGCTAGATGAACTCGACCTTCACAAAGTGTCAAAGATTTATTTTGTTGATTGAAAAGAGAGTGTCAAGCGGTAGAGAAATTCAGCAAGTGTTGTCCAGTTTCTTCTTTGTCAAGAGGGAGTAGAAGTAATTCAGAATATAATCCCCCTCTTTAGGAAAGGGTTTGCCAGTCAAAATGAAAGAGACAGGTAGCCATGGCGGCACAGGCCTGTAATCAATGTTTGGGAGGCTGAGACAGGAGGATTGTTACAAGTTTGAGGCCACCACTTGCTACAAAGCAAGTGCTTTCGTCAAAAACCAAACAACAAACTCCAGACAGAGATACCAAGTAGCCACACTACAAACCACAATAATGTAAGGTGTGTATGTGTGCGTGACAATCCCCAGAAGCAAGAAAAATAATGATACCTTCATTGTTGCGTACCTGTAATCCAGTGGGCAGTAGAAGCTGGAGTCAGGACAATTAGGCATTCCAAACTAGTCTTGGTTTCATAGTAAGTGTGAGGCCAGCTTGTACTATGTGAGATCTGTTTCAAAACAAGCCCTTTTCCTGATGGAAGCAAAGATTTTTGGAATAGGTAACTTCTTTTTTTTTTTTTTTTTTGAGATAGGGTCTTGCTGTGTATCTGACTGGTTTGGAACTGAGTATGTAGGCTGTCCTTGAATTGGTGAGTGATCTCCTGAGTGCTTGCATTGCAGATATGTGTGTGGTCTCAAATGGAAAACATTGGAACTACCTTCTAGAAAGTTGTTTTAAAATGTTTTAAGGTTTTTGTGTATGAGTGGTATGTATGCATGTATGTGCAACGTCTGCCTGCATGGTGCTCACAGAGGTCAGAAGGTGGCATCAGATCCCCTGAACTGCAGTTAATAGTATTGTGAGACACCTTGGTGCTAGGAACTGAACCTGCATCCTCTGTAAGAGCAATGACTGCTCCTAGTAACTGCTAAGCCATCTATCTCTTTAGCTCATAAGGGTTTTGTTTTGTTATGTTTTAAAATTTTGTTTTATAGGTATAAATGCATGTATGTCTGTGCAGCATGGGCATGCCTGAAACCGAAGGAGTTCAGAAGAGGATGTCAGATCCCCTGGAACTGGTGCTAAAAATAGCTGTTAGACACTATGTGGGTGCTAGGAATCAAACCCTGCTCCTTTGAAAGGACAGCCAGTGCTTTTAACCACTGAGCCATCAACCCTGTGAGATTTTGTTTGTTTGTTTGTTTATTTTCTTGCCAATATAGTTATAAAAATATCTCTGCAACTTAGAATATTTTATTTTTTTGTTTTTCCAAAACAGTTTCTCTGTGTAACAGTTCTGGCTGTCTTGGAAACCCAGACTGGCATTGAACTCTCAGAGATCCACCTGTCTCTGCCACCTTAGTGCTGGGATTAAAGGTGTGTACCACCACTGCCCAGCTAGAATACATTATCAAACCATCTGGAGGTCATTCTTGCCTGAAAATCATCACCTTTGCTGTGGGGTCCAAAAACAGTCTTTATTTATCAAGGAAATTAGATTTGGAAGAATTGGGTGGGTATTAGATACTGTGCCCAAATGTTTAAGTGGATCAAGAACAAGTGGTTTTATATTTAAGTGGAAGATAACTGCTTTCTTTATCTTTTCTTTTTTTGAGCCTGTAACTTTGGAGTCTGTCCTAAAACTCACTCTGTAGACCAGGCTGGCCTTGAACTCACAGAGATCCACCTGCTTCTGCCTCTGCGGTGCTAGGATTAAAAAATCACTACCACCAGGCTTTTTTCTTCTTTTTTGAGACAGTTTCTTTGTGTAGCCCTAGCTGTCATGGAACTCACTTTGTAGACCAAGTTGGCCTCGCCTCTGCCTCCCAAGTGCTGGGATTAAATTCGTGCACCACCACCTGGCTTCTAAAAATAATTTGTAACAGTGCCTGTTTTTGACAGATTAGGCCATCAGTGACCATTTTCCTGGTGTTGAAGATTTCATACAAGAAAACAGAGAAGTTTGATAGGTAATTAAAGCTATAGGATGATTGTGTACAACTTTTATCTCAGCATTCAAAAGGGAGAGGCAGGAGAATCTGTGAATTCAAGCCCAGCCTGGTCCACAGATTGAGTCCCAGGACAACCAGGACTATATAGAAATACCATGTCTTGAAAAATAAAAACAAAAAAGTTGGCAGCAAAGAGTAAATGAAAGAAATCACTATATTTCAGTGAAGGAAACTAATTTGAGGATCAGATTAAATTGACCACCTTAGCTAATCCTTTCTATTATATAGCTACCTTTACTTTCTGAAAGTACTGGGGAGCTCTAAAGGAAAGCAGAAAAATAGAGGCATATCCTTGACAACAAGAAAATATAGAAAAGTCTTGGGTGAGCACATGGCTGAGGTCTTACCAGGAATCTTGAGAGTTGTTTTTTAGATAAAATTGTTTGAGTGGGAAGGAAGGAATCTTCATTCAGATCCAGAAGGTCTTGGCCTTGTGAACATGGGCTATATTATCAGAATTACTTGGGGAGTTAAAGGAAAAAAAATGTTGCCCAAACTATACTCTAAAGTAGCAAAATCAGAAGGCCCCCTGTATTTAAACACATTAAAATTACATTTATTTGTTTCTATGTATCTCTGTATTCCACAGCACTGACGCCTTGGGAGAGTTGGTTCTCTCCCTCCACACATGGGTCCTGGGGATTAGGCTCAGGTCATCAGGCATGAATAATTTTTAAGGCTCTGTGGTGAGTCTAACCTGTTGAAAACTATAGTCGGGATCAGTTTCACAGGTCAAGGGTAGAGGGAGTCACAGAGGTTGGGAACTAAAACCACCTGCTCTCAAGAACAGAGGAGGTCAGATTACTGAAGGAATCACTTAAGCTCTGGGGTGTGACACACAGGGCTTCATATAGACATGAAAATTATGTTTTTCATATATTCTGGGTGGGATTGAAGGATAGGCTAGATAGGACTAGCAAGTATGTACAGGCCTGTTTGAACTCTGAACTGTCTAGTAGTTTGGAAAAGTACAGACGCTGTTCTCAGAGAAGGGAGCATTGTAAGTTTACCTTTCCTATGCTGCTAAGAGTATTCTCTTAGTGCAAGAGCTATTTTCTTACTGGATGTATGTGACCAAAGTTCACAGATCCTAATGAGGCTACAACCTAGATTTTTCACTGTTTTCTTTCCTTCTGCTAGGATCTGTGGCTGAAAATAGTAATATGGATCTGCATTGTACTAAGTAGGGTTACAGCAACATAGTTTTGACTGGGAAGCTACTGAACTTTTTTATATATATATATATAATAAAATAGTTACAGTTAAAAATCTTTGGTCAGCTGGGTGTTGGTGGTGCAGAGGTAGGCAGATCTCTGTGAGTTCAAGGCCAGCCTGGTCTACAGAGCTAGTTCCAGGACAGGCTCCAAAGCAATACAGAGAAACCCTGTTTTGACATCCCCATCCCCCAAAAAGAGGCTTTGTTCTGTGTGTGTGTTATATGAGTGTGCATGGGTATAGACTAGCTGGAACTTTGGGGGTTGTTCCTCCTATGTGGTGGTATGAATGAGAACAGCCCCAAAGACTCATGGATTCGAGTTTTTAGTCACCTGTGAATGGCACTGTTTGAAAAGGATTGTGAGGTGTGGCCTTGTTGGAGGAAATGTGTCAGGGTGGGCTTTAAGGTTTCAAAAGCCATTCCAAGTTCAGAGTCTGTCTGTCGATTAGGACGTAGCTATCAGCTACTGCTCCACTACTTGCCTGCCTGCCACCATTCTCCCTACCATGATGATAATGGACTAAACCCCTGAAACCGTAAGCAAGCCCCCAGTTAAATGCTTTCTTCCATAAGAGTTGCCTTGGTCATAGTATCTTTTCACAGCAGTATAACCCCAATATAACTGGTGCTTTGTGATCTGGAAATTGCTGAGAAGGCTAGGCTGGTTGGCCAGCAAGCCCCAAGGGATTTGCTTCTCTCCTCCTAGTGCTGGGATTATAGATTTACTATATGCCCAGCTTTTTCACTATATAGGGAGTTATTTACTTAGTATTTTGAGACAAAGCCTCCTGTATCCCAAGCTGGTCTCAGTTTACTATGTAGCTAAGAATGCCTTTGAGCTCCCAGTACTGTTGCCTCTAACTCCCAGTTGCTGAGATTATAGGCTTGTGTCCTCATGTGTGGGAGTACGGGGGATTCCTTGGGGTAGAGTGTAGGTTCTTGTGTTGTGCTTCCAGGCAAGTATTTTTACTAACTGAACTATCTCCTCAGCTCTTGGTGTTCCTGTGATTATTTTCTTTGTGGAGGATGCAAAGGGAATTCCTGCTCTTTCATAGAAACAAGAGAGAATAGGACTATATGGTTATCTTCTAATAATGGTATCTACCCAGAAATTATACATACTTTCTCAAATAGATCCTTGGGTCCCTTCACTAGAACTATATAGTTTACTTTTTAATTTTATGGTGTATTTTTATACATATGTGTGTATGTACAAACCAGAGGTTGATGTTGGGTGTCTTTCTTGATAGCTTTCCACTACAACATTTTTTTTTTTTTTTTTAAGATTGAAGATTTAAGTTGGGCAGTGGTTGCACATGCCTTTAGTCCTAGTACTGGGGAGGCAGAGGCAGGTGGATCTCTGTGAGTTCAAGACCAGCCTGGTCTACAGATCAAGTTCCAGGACAGCCTCCCAAGCTATATAGAAACCCTGTCTTTTTTTTTTTTTTTTTCAAAATAATTGAAGATTTAAAAGAACTTTGGTAGGTATATGGTTGTGTGTGCATAGATAGGCAGCTCTCTATGAATTGGATATCAGCTTGGTCTGCATACCTAGATCTAGGCAAGCCAGGGTTATACAGTAAGATCTTGTCTCAAGAAAGAAAGGGAGGGAGAGGAAGGAAGGAAGGAAGGAAGGAAGGAAGGAAGGAAGGAAGGAAGGAAGAGAAGAAAGGAGAGTGAGCAAGCAAGCTTTCTTCGGGCTGGACATGGTGGCATACATCTTCAGTCCCAGCACTCAGGAGTCAGAGGCAGGAGAATCTGAATTCAGGTTGTCTTGGACTACATAGAGAGGTCCAGGGCAGCAAGGACTACATGAAGAAATCTTGTCTCCAGGAGAGGGAGAAAGAACACATGTAGCTTTTCTTTGGAAGACTGCTGATAAATTTTTTTTTCTTTTGTTTTTTCAAGATAGGGTTTCTCTCTGTAGTTCTGGCTGACCTGGAACTCCATCTTCAGATCAGTCTGGCCTCCAACTCACAGAGATCCACCTGTCTCTGCTTCCTAAATGCTGGGATTAAAGGCATGTGCCACCACATCTAGTCAAATCTTTTTTTTTTTTTCCTTGAAGGAACAGTCGTTAGTTTGGTGCCTCTTGCTGTCGTGTATAAGCAAACTGTGGCTTTAGAGTCTATGATAGGAACTCTTCATTATTTTTCTTGGGTTTTGAAAGCAGCACTGTCTTGAGAATTACAGATGTGAACCATATAACCCTTACATTAGTGATGAAGATCCGTAGACATTGAACTTTGTATAACTCTTCCTCCTTTCTCTTCACATGAATGACTTCTGCATAGTGAGAACAGCATCGCCATTAGCACTAGAAGTTCCTTTCAAGTTTTTGGTTTTTTGTTTTGTTTTGTCTTTTGTTTTTTAAGCTAGTTGAGCAAATAATATTTGTTAGATAAGATAGATGGAACCACATGTCTGGTGCCGTTTTAGCGAATACCTCAGGTACTTTGACTTACACTGTTATCACATTGTTTAGGTGCTAGGATATGTTTCAGTAGCACATGGCGCCAGGCAGCGGTAGCACATGACTTTATTCTCAGCGATTGGAGGCAAAGGCAAGAAGTTCTCTGAGTTCTAAGGTCAGCCTGGTTTACAGATTGAGTTCCAGGACAGCCAGGGCTACACAGAGGAACCCTATTTGAAATACATAAATAAACGAACAAACTCTACTGATTTCAAACACTATACCTTTTATTCTTTAAGCATGGGAAAATGGCTTTGGCCTCACGTTTGAAAATTTGTATCTGTTTCTGACAGGCTTGCTTATCACATTACTGAGACTAGTGAAATAGAAGACAAAGGAGCTCCAATTGTGCTCTGGTACAGTGCTTTCTAAGCAGGGGTCCATTCCCAGTAACACAAAATAAAAATAAAACAAAGATTGTTATAGGTGGTATAGTGATAACCATATTCTGACTGAGTAAAAAGGCAGGAAAGGAAAACCCTAAAATAATTCAACGGGGAGGCAAATGTCCTTTATGCTTTGTGAGTGCAAGTGTTTTGGTCATTGGAAATGATGTTTAGTGCTTTTGTCCTGAAAAGGTAGAGTAGCTTCTGTCTTAAAAGTGCTTTCCTTAATGTCAAGTGATTATATTCTTTATAAGTTTGTGTGGAATAGAGTAGAACTCAAAAGAGATAAATAAATGCATAAGATACTTTAAAATCTAGAAAGCTCCTGGTGTGTATGATAGTACACACTTTTAATCCTAGCACTCAGGTGGATTTCTGGGAGTTCAAGGCCTGGTCTCTAGCAAATTTTAGGACAACCAGGGCTAGCTACATCAAGGTCCCTACTGAAACCAACCAAAACAACAACAAAAAACCTTAGAGAGCTTTATTTGGCATTTGGTTGGGGATTTTTTTTGTCATGCTTAGGATGGGACTAAGAACCTCCTAAATGCTGTATAAGCACTCTCTTTGTCACTGAGCTCTCCTCTTGCCTTTTGTTTAAAGATGTATTTATTTGCCTGGGGGTGGTGTCACATGCCTTTAATCCTAGCACTCGGGGAGGCAGAGGCACGCGAATGGATCTCTGTGAGTTTGAGGCCAGCCTGGTCTACAGAGCTAGTTCCAGGACAGTCAGAGCTACAGAGAAACCCTGTCTTGGGGGGGGGGGTTATCCTAACTGATGAGCCATCTCTCCAATACCCCTATCTTTTTTAACAAAAAAAAACTAGCATATAGGAGCTGGAAAGATGGCTCAGTGGTTAAGAGCAATAGTTGTTCTTCTAGAAGACCCGGGTTCAATTCCCAGCACCCACATACATGGCAGCTCACAACTCTCTGTAGCTCCAGTTCCAGGGGATCTGATATCTTCATACCCGTGCATGTAAAATAAAAAGTTAAATTATTCTTTAAAACAACATATTATACTCAATAACCAGTGAAACAGTAGGATTAAAGAGAAAGTATGGTTTTATACCTTTCTGTTAAATAATAGCTAGAGAAATAGAACTGTAGTATCTAGTACCTGTCTCAGGTTAACAGGAAATGGATGTACTCAGACACCCTAGAAATGTGGATTTCAAATAAAAGCTGACATTTAAAGGGGGTTAGCATGTTTCTAACATTACATAGAATATACTTGACAGTCAGTGTAGTGGCATAATCATGCTTTTGCCTCCCTGAGGCAGGGAGGCTTGCAAATTGAAGGCCCGAGTTTTTAGATAGTTTCAGTCCCCCACCCCCCAACTGAGTTTCCTAGAAATTGCTCTGTAGATCCACCTGCCTTGCCCTCTTGTGTGTGTGTGTGTGTGTTTTGTTTTCTTTCCTTTTCTGAGACAGGGTTTCTCTGTGGCTTTGGAGCCTGCCCTGGAACTTGCTTTGTAGACCAGGCTGGCTCTGAACTCAGAAATCCTCCTACCTCAGCTTCCTTGAGTGCTGGGATTAAAGGTGGCTTATTGTATTTATGTGTTTGGATGTTCTGCTTGCATATATATATCTATGTACCACCTGTATGCCAGAAGACAGCATCAGATCCGCTGGGACATATGGGTAATAGGAATCAAAGCTGAGTCCTCTGGAAGAGCTGCCAGTGAGTGTCCTTTGAGCCAATACTCTAGCCCCTCTGCTTGGTAAACTATGCATTTGTGGTTTTCTTCCCCAGGCGGGTGCTACTTCTATGTGGGCTTCATGTTGTGGGCTGCTGAATGAAGTCATGGGAACTGGAGCTGTCAGAGGTCAGCAGGCAGGATTTCCAGGAAGCACTGGCCCATTCAGATTTACAACAAGCTCTGACTTTCCCACCTACCCACCAGCAGCTACTGAAGGGCCCAATATAGTTTGCAAAGCATGTGGACTTTCATTTTCAGTCTTTAGAAAAAAGGTGAGTTGGATGGACTATTGTATATGAATAACACATGGGAGAAAATACAAACATAAATTATAATTCTTGGAGAGGCAATGAATGACCTTGTGTTTGTGGAAATTTTAAAGAACTCAGTCTAAAACTTTTCAACTTTCACAGGTCATCTTGCAGTCTGATCAGTATAATCTCTTATAAATTGCATAAATGAGTGTTAGCTTGTGGGAGCAATACACTGAACAGAAGTGGACACAACTGAATGTCCTCTCCAAGATTCTGTTCTGAGATAGCTTAGATTATAATTAGGGCCACAATGGCTACAGATTTCTGCACTAATGGGGGGGGGGTCCTTCTTGAGTCTTTGGGTTATGTTGGAGCAGTCATTTTCTTTTCTTTTTATGTTAAGCTTTTTTCCTCTTTGCTGAGAAAATTGTCCACATAGGAAAAGACCAGAAAGAGAGCTTTGTGGCTGTGCTTTCAACATGTTCCATGTGGTTCAAGTCAGCTTGGTTCTGCTAATTACATGTTTGGTGCAAGGGGTGGAAACGTTTTAATTCATTAACACAAGAGTATATTTTTCCTTAAAGTGCTGTATTAGAGTTTTGTGAATCTAAGCTGCCTTAGTGGTGGTTTTGTGAAAATAAGCTTGTGCCATGGGACTGCACATGAACCAAGGTTTCAGTTCTAACACAAAAGAGGGTGCTTATGTGTTGTCTATGTCTGCTCTGTCTCCAGCATGTCTGCTGTGACTGCAAGAAGGACTTTTGCTCCTTTTGCTCGGTTTCACAAGAAAACCTCCGCAGATGTTCTACTTGTCACCTACTACAAGAGACAGCCTTCCAGCGCCCTCAGTTGATGCGACTGAAAGTGAAGGACCTACGGCAGTATCTCCTCCTCAGAAATATATCGACTGACACGTGTCGGGAGAAGGAAGACTTGGTAGATCTAGTACTGTGCCATCGTGGACTACGCTCAGGGGATGACCTGGACTCTAGCAGCCTCAATTCCTCACGCTCCCAGACTTCTAGTTTTTTTTCACAATCCTTTTTTTCAAATTACACAGCCCCCACTGCTACTGTTTCCTCCTTCCAGGGAGAGCTCATGGACAGAGATGGGGCCTTCAGATCAGAAGTTCTGGCACAGGTAGGATGGTGTGATTGATGACCCTAAGGACCTACTAGGTTCATGCTTGCTCATGTGGTAGGGATCATCAGTGCTGGGTGACTTCAGATGAAGGGCAAAGGTTCCATCCTCAGCGCTCGCTGGCACTGCACAAGAAATGATGTGTAGCTTCTGTGTGCTCAGTGCCTGGAATCCAGTCTAAAGTAGCTCATGAGTTTGTCTTTAGTTTCTTGTCTTGTATAGTTTTGTAACTTGTATAGTTAACCAAAAGTGTCAGTGACCGTAGAAACAATAGTGAATAACCAATGACCTCAATTGTTCTGACTTGCTTTTATTTATTTGAGACGAGGGTTCTACCTCAGCGTAGTCTCAAGTTCCTTATGTAGCTGAGGATGACCTTGAACTGTGTGTGTGCTCGCACATCCTTACTCAGTTGTTCTCTATCCCATATTTTGAGAATGGGTCCCTTACTGACTTGGAGGTCATTGATTTGGCTAGTTTGACTAGCCTGGAAACCTCAGAGATGTTCCCATCACCATCACTGTCTTTACTACTGGCAGTATAAACATGTACTCTTCACCTTGCTTTTTGTGAGTGCTGTGAGTCCTTGTATAACAAGCATTTTAATCATCTGAGCTTTATCCCCAGCCCTGACTTTGGACTTCTGGTCTTCCCAGCTCTACCTCTTGAGTGCTGGGGTCAAAAGTGTGCAGTATTATAGGCTGGGCTTAGGTGGTGCTGGCGATTGAACCTAAGCTCTTTAGTTTTTTGAGACAGAGTTTCTCTGTATCCTTGGCTGTCCCCAAACTCACACAAATCTGCTTGCCTCTGCCTTTCGGAGTGCTAGGATTAAAGGTGATTACAAATTTACCTAATTTAAGTAGCAAAAATAAAAGTACTTATTTAGTATAACTAGAATATTGTCCCAGGGTTGAGAGATCACTCAGTTAAGAGCATTGGCTTCTAGAGGTCCTGAGTTCAATTCCCAGCAACCACATGGTGGCTTACAACCATCTATAATAGGATATGATGCCCTCTTCTGGTATGCATACATGCAGAAATACCAATATGTTAATGAATATCATAATTGGATAACATGTAGGGATTACAACTCATAGCTTGTTCTATATGAATGACTCTGAAATGCTAAATTAAACTGGGTGTGGTGGTGTAGTTCCAGCACATGAGTTCAAGATCTCATGAACTCAGTTTGAGGCCAGCCTGGGTAAATTAGCAAGGTGCCCACATTAAAAACAATACAAAAATCCTAAGATATAATGGACAGTGGTGGCACATACCTTTAATCCAATCCAAGCACTCGGGAGGCAGAGGTAGGTGGGCTCTGTAGCAGGATCTCTTAGATAGCCAGCTCCAAAAAATGACATGGAGACTTACTATTAGTTATGAATGCTCAGCCTTATCTTGTGCTTGCCCCATCCTGTTTCTCTGGATCTGTTTTGCCTTGGGGCTTTTTACCTTTTGTTCATCCTGTATGTCTTCTCTGTCTCTGAGCAGGTATCTCTTTCTCTTCTCAAGCCTAGATTCCTTCTCCTACTTATTCTATCTGCTCACCAGCCCATCCTTCTACTGCCTAGCCATTGACTGCTCAGCTTTTTAATTAGACCATGCCTTAGGCATGCAAAGCAACACATTTTTACATTGTTAAACAAATACATCATAAACAAATATAACACATCTTTACATAGTTAATAATCCACTACATCTCTGTGAGTTCAAGACCAGCCTGGTCTACAGAGTGAGATCCAGAACAGCCAGGGCTACACAGAGAAACCATGTCTCAAAAAGCAAAAACAAAATCAAACAGAAAACCTTAGACATATATAAATACTGACTTGTTTTGAATTTTTTTTTTTTATTTTTCCACCTTTGAAGAAAGGTATTAAAAGTAGATGTGTGCTGGGTGTAGTGGTGCATGCCTTTAATCCCAGCACTTGGGATACAGAAGCAGACTGATCTTTGAGTTAAGAGGCCAGCCTGGTCTACATAGTAACTTCTAGAATAGCCAGGGATATATAGCGAGAAGACCTTGTCTCACAATAAACAAAAAGCATCAAGGTGTGGGAGCTGGAGAGATGGCTCAGTGATTAATAGCCTTTACTGCTCTTGCAGAGGCCCTGATTTGCTTGTTTGTAGCCACACTGCTGCTTACAACTATCCTAACTACAGTTTTGGGGAATCTGATGCCCTTTCTGTCGTTCTCAGAAACTGTATACATGTAGATAACCACTCACATAATATAAAAGTATATGTAGTACATACATGCAGAAACTATTCACACACATAAAAATATCTCAGCCAGGCAGTGTTGGTGTACTTTTAACCCCGGCACTTAGGAGGCAGAGTTTGAGGCTAGCCTGCTCTACAGAGTTGAGTTCTAGTACAGGCTCCGAAGCAACACAGAGAAACTCTGCCCCAAAAAACTTTGTATTGCTTTGGAGCCTATCCTGGAACTAGCTCTGTAGACCAGGCATGCCATGACCTCACAGAGGTTCGCCTGCGTCTGCCTCCCGAGTGCTAGGAATTGCCACCAATGCCCAGTTTAAAATAATCTTAAAAGTGTAGGCATGACTGGGCATGGATATACTTATATCCCAGCCTTAAGGGATAGAGGCAGATAGATTGACTTAGCTGCTATCCAGATATTCATAATTGGGATAAGACTAAGACCAAAGTTTTATAATTTTCTCAAATGAGAACTTGCATTGTTATAAACAGATATATCTGACTTGTGCCAGTTTTGGAATAAATGACACCATTTTGGGGAGATACAGGTGGCAGAGTGCTGCAATGTGGTACCTATAGGATGAAATATGTGATATTGGAACCACCTAGATTACTATATGCTATGGTCAAAAGATGATGTCAGTGGTGGTATACACCAGTTTCAGTATTTAGAATGTGGAGTCAAAAAGAAATGAGTTAATATTAGCCCAGGCTAGACCTTAATTGGTGTTTTGTCTGAATTCATGTCTGTGAGGGCTTTGGATTCCTTAGAACTGTAGTTAAAGACAGTTGTGAGGTGCCATGTAGGTGCTGGGAGTTGAACCTGGGACCCTTAGAAGAGTAGCTAGTGCTCTTAACTATTGAGCCATCTCTCCAGCCTCAAAAGAAGAAAATTTGTGAAATAAGGTATATAATCCAAAAAAGAAGGAATTTTTGTTAGCTTTTTTTTTTTTTTTTTTTTTTGTGGTTTTCTGTTTTGTTTTTAGCGACAGCCATGGCTGTCCTGGAACTCACTTTGTAGACCAGGCTGACCTCAAACTCAGAGATCCACCTGCCTATGCCTTCCAAATGTTGGGATTAAAGATGTTTGCCCCTATTACCCCACTTAGTGTTTTTTTTTTTTTAAAACATTGATTTATTTGTGTGTGTACATATTTTCATTTGTTCATGCCCAGAGAGGCATATGGATGTCAGAGGACAACTTGTCAGTGTTCTGTCCAGAATGTGGGTTCAAATCAGGTTGTCAAGCTCAGTGCAAGCATCTGTTTGTGCCCACTGAGCCATCTTACCAGTTATTTTTCTTGTGGCTCCAGTTAAATGGGCTATTTTTAGGTCCCAATGATGTAGTGCCACCCCACATTCTTAGTGGCTTTGCTTTAGGACCTTTCTCAGGCAGTTAGTACTTAGATGTGTTCTTAATTGCTGAGCCATCCCTCCAGTCCCAGGTTTTTGTTTTTTGTTTTGTTTTGGCAGAGTCTCACTATGTAGCCTTGGCTTGGGGGCTGGCCTAGGAGTTGCGTTGTAGACTAGGCTGACTTATTACTCCTTTGTCTCCCCAAGTGCTGGGATTAAAGGTGTGCTCTGCTTGCTCCACTGACCTGGCCCTAAGGTGATCGAGGTTCAGCAGATAGTTTTTCTCTACAGAGAAGTAAAAGTTAATAATTAGAAAAGCCTGATTAGTAATCAGTTGGATTTGTCATGTATATAGGTTCAAAGCGAGATAGCTTCAGCAAACACAGATGATGATGATGATGATAATGATGATGATGATGATGAAGAAGATGAAGATGATGAACAAGAAGAAGAAAACTTGGGGGAGCAGGTAAAACTTTAAAATTGTTTTCCCTGATAAATGCCATGTGTCAGAAAGGGAAGAGGCTGGACTTCCTCTTGGTCAGCCAGTACATTTTTTTCTAGTTTAGCTGTAGAACACTATCAAAACATCTCAGGGAACTGAGGAGTCTGGGGAGAGCATCCAGGGCCATGGGAACCAAAATTAGAGAGACATCTGGACTTGTGGAATATTCTGATTTCAGAACCCAGGGCTCTCCAAGAAGAAAGTGAGAGCCTCACTATCTGACCTGTCTAGCCTTGAAGAGGTAGAAGGCATGAGTGTGCGCCAGCTGAAGGAAATCCTGGCTCGGAATTTTGTCAACTATTCTGGTTGTTGTGAAAAATGGGAACTGATAGAAAAAGTTAACCGGCTATACAAAGAGAATGAAGAAAACCAAAAGTCATGTAAGTTTATTGCCACCCCCCCCCCCCCAGTATCCTTTCTTGGGTTGTTATAATTAAGTCAAATTTAGCTAGCAAGGCAATGCATGCCTATGATCCCAATACTCAGGAAGCTAAGCCAGACCCTTTCTCAAAAATAGAAAGTCATTAGGGCAGGAGAAATGGCTCAGTGGTTGGGAGCATTGGCTGCTCTTCTTGAAGACCTGGGTTCAATTACCAGCTCCCACATAGCAGCTCACCACTGTATTATTTGAAATTACAGGGGTTCAAACACCTTCACACAGACACACAGGCAGACAGCAGTGCACATCAAATAAAAACTTAATTAAAATAAAAACCACTAAAAATAAAAAGGTTTGGGACTGGGGAGGTGGCTCAGCATTTAAAACCTGCTGGCTGTTCTTCTAGAATTCCCAGTGCCCACATGGAGGCTCCCAACTCTGTTATTCCAGTTTAGGGGACCCCATCCCTCTTCTGGTTTCCAAGGGAATTAGGCATTTAAGTGGTACACAGATATAAATGCAGGCAGAAAACCCATAAATATTTTAGGAAATCAATATACCTTTTTCAGTTATGTAAGCCTGTTTTTAGAGATGCTAAGTAGTCTATTACTTGACACGGGCTTTGAGACAGCTATTGCCAGATAAGCCAGACAATCTTTTGTTGAATATACTTACTATTCATGTAATAAAAAGCCCCTCTTGCCGAAAGGGGACTGTCCCATCTTCATGGCCATACAGCTAGAACATTAGCTAAACTTCTACTTGTGGCCTGACTATGGAGTGGCCCATGTGAAGAATGTGGGTTGACCTGTGGTGGTTGCTCAGAACATGGCTGCTTGGCCACGGGCAGGGGAGAAGGCCAGCGGCCATGTCCAGAGCCCCAGCTCTCTATTTACTTTTAGATGGTGAGCGGATGCAGCTTCAGGATGAGGAAGATGACAGCCTGTGCCGAATCTGCATGGATGCAGTCATTGACTGTGTCCTGCTGGAGTGTGGGCACATGGTCACCTGCACCAAGTGTGGCAAGCGCATGAGTGAGTGTCCCATCTGTCGGCAGTATGTTGTGCGAGCTGTGCATGTTTTCAAGTCCTGAAATTGAGGCCCCCTGAGTGAGACACTCCTGCGACTCTACCCCAAACTTGAGTGCATAAAAGGGACTGGAAATTTACTGTTCCAAGGCAGAAGCTATTTTTAAAAATTATTTTCATTACTGACTGGGACAGAAAGTTCAACCTAAGTTGAAGAAACCTGGGCTGTGTGGTTCATAGGCCTGCCTGCTGGCTTTCCCAGCTTCTGCTGGGTTTTATCACTTGTCTCCCTGAGCACGAGTTGCTGAAGTCAGACTATTCAGTGTGGATATTTGCTCTTACTCTACGGAGGCCACTCACCTTGTCTCTTTTATTTCCTCATTTACCCTGTGTTTGAAACTTACTTTCTTTGACATTAACTCACGATTCACAATGGGCTAGTGTGGACTGTACTGAGCAATGGCTGCTCTGAATGTTCACTTTAGTCACTATTTTAAATGCTAATATTTAATGAGTGTAAGTTCCCATACTGTTGCTATCTCTCTGCATTTAAACATAATTGGGAGACAACTGATATTCTATAGTCAACTGCCAGGGCCTCAGATAAACATGTCCTTTTTTTGTTCAGGTACAGCTTTTAATAGCAAGGGCTGCATCCAGTTTATCTTAGAAGTATGCGTGTGTGTGTGTTGTAAATTCTTTATTAACATGTAATTAATTTACACTTTTGTATATAGTGAAGGTGGATTTTTAGTGCTATCTGCTAGTAATTTCAACTTTAGGAATAAAATTAGATTAAAAGGCTGCTGTAGTTTATATTGTCTCCTTAAGTTTTGAGCTTATTTGCATTTAGCATGAACAGGCATCAACATTCTAATCTAGCATCTCCCCCCCCCTTCAGAAGAGATGTGAACACCTTCAAAAATCATCTGTTGCTCACTTACCATAGTCGTGTTTACTGTTCCTACCACCAGTGTAAAACAGATACTAAGCCCCATGTTATATCACAACACTGGGATGATTTCAAATGTTAAGGTTTTCTTTTTCAGCCCTTTGAGTACATCTATAAAATGAGAACTTGGGATCAATAGCTTACAGATTTTGCAATCCTGGAGGGAGTTCAAGGTGAATACCAGGGACGACTGCTTAGTTATTATGGCAAAGAGTAAACATTTCTTCTGGATAAAGTTCTAAAGGCTCACAGCAGAATAGAACGAAATCTCATTCTTGTCTTCACAGTAGAAAAGAATGTAATTTGAGGAACCACGATTTCTACTGTAAACACCAGGTTCCCTTGATGGACTCACTTTCTGTTCTACAAGTTCAGATTGACCATAGCAGGTACACTTCCAAGTTATGGTCTTTCTACTACTTTGCCAGCTGTGGTGTATGACCTCAGAGCACCTGTTTGTGGCAGGTGATTTATGCTGGCTTCATCTGAACCTGGTTTAAAACTATAGATGTTGATGAGATAGTTCAGTAGATAAAGGCAGTTGGCCATGATCCGAGTTCAAGCTTCATTTTCCACATGGTAGAAGGAGAGAATCAACTTCCATAAGTAGTCCTCTGACTATGTGAGCCAAGGTACATGCACACCACATAAATAAATAAATGTAAAATCTTCCTTGGGGAGGGGGGAAATACTGACTATGACCTGTGTACTAGGCCAGAGCTACCTCATGCCTTTGCTCTGCTATGTGCATATGGTGGTGTGAAGCCAGATTCTTTCTTAGCAGAGACTATTTATGTGTGGGGATCACCCTTAAAAGTAGTTCTCAGAGGGCAAGATGGCCTTCCTTCCTTTTTTTTTTTTTTTTTTTGTTTGTTTGTTTGTTTGTTTGTTTCAAGACAAGGTTTTTCTGTGTTGCTCTGGCTGTCCTGGAACTCTGGCCTGCCTCTGCCTTTTTGAGTCCTGGGATTAAAAGTGTGTACTGATAATACCTGGCAAAGATGGATTTTCTAACCATTAAGGCACAGCTATTTTATTTGGAGGTTGAGAACTAAAAACTACCAAAGAAATGGCATTTAAATCTATATAAGGAACCTTCAGGCCAGTAAAATCAAACTACTTTTTTACAAGCAAATAGTATTAACAAGTCTTAATTCTGCTATGTTACTCCCCAGAGTTTAGTACAGAAGACATTGTTGCTAGAATTTGACTCAGAAATAGTTTTTTGGATATGCTTTAGATGCGCTCTATTTCTATACATAAACATCAAGTCAGAATTGTCTAAAATGTTCTGTGACCCCAAATTCTAGTGCCTTAGTCTTCTAGTCCCCAGACCCTCCTTGAATTGTCTCTTCAGAAAGATTGGGGAAGAAATGGCACCTATTTGCCCTCTACATATGGGTAACTTCCAGTAAAGAGTAATGTTAAGTAGCTGTGCTGGCCCTAGTTGGTGGAAGTGTTTGGGAAGGAATCACAAAGGGTGGGCAAAAGGCTCACCATTCCCAGTGTGCCTCTCTCTGCCACCCATTTGTAGACTGAACAAGATGAGAGGAGCTCTAAGCTGCTGCTGCTCTCCCTCTATGCCCCCACTCAAATAAATTTTAACCCTCTGACCGAAAGCTCAATGAAACTTTCTCTTGTAAGTTGTCTTGCTCACGGTATTTTATCACAGCAGCAAAAGAATAAGACAACAGTGAACATACATGGAAATTACTTTTGTACAGGTATAGTAGGAGACTTTCAGACAGCTGAGCCACTACTCCTAATATGCACAAGTGGCCATCATTGTAGCAGTTATTTCCCATTGTCAAAAATCAAATCTCTTTCTATAGGAGATGAAAAAAAAAATCATTGTGTCTCAAGGCTGCTGCATTTCTCAGATGACAGAGAAATTATATAGTTTTGGGGCCTCAGTTATATATACACAAGTGTGAAGAGTCCATTTATTCTGGCCATTCCAATTAGATTTTTAGCCCTCTCTTAAAAACAGAAACCCACAAACACCAAGACTGGATTTTTTTTTTTTTTTTTTTTTGTACAATTATTTATACAAATCCAACAAAGGTAAAACTGCATCAGGGAAAGTCTAGGAAACACCACCATACAACAATGGCACTTATGGATGCAGAACATGACAACTAGAAAATAGCCTGGTTACCAACTTCAGTGAGAACCGAACACTTCAAAGGAAAGGAAGGCTATGGGCACATTTATTCTACTTGATTCATGGTATAAATTAGATCTATGAAGATAGAATACAAGAGCTCATGCTTGGAGCAAAACCCTCCTGAGTGTAAAGGCTGAAATCTGAATTGTAAGATTTTGAGGAAACTCGGTGAAGTGTTTTACCTGGACTATACTTTACACTTAACCACAACATGCTCGTGTAACTTCTTGACATATAAAGTAGGCTCTCAACATCCAGTTAAACATGCTTTTAAGTGGAAGGTCGTAGCCCCCTGTCACACCTGGGCACATCTGTAGTAGAAGGGCTCTTTATGTTGATGAAGTACAGGTTAAGTTCTCCCTATTTGAAGGAAAGTTGGCAATCTAAATAATAAAAACACTGGTATGCATTCAAATCTTGCATAAATAATTTTTAAACAATTTATACAAAAATAGTTCTGCATAATGTAAGATGTAACAAAACCAACTAAACAAAATGTGTCAAGACGGCTGCAGATGGTATGTGTGGTCCACTCTATGTTGACACCAGAAGCCTTGGCATTGCAAGGAACAGGGTGTCTCAAACAAAACTACCAATAAAAGCACTAAGCTCAGGCTTCTAAGAGGATTTCTCCAAAGCTCATCATCCCTTCCAACTGGAATGTCTTCTAAAGGCCGCCTTAGAAATGGTCCAAAAAGCAGTGCAGTTATGATGCAGAAAGAGCAGAGGAAAACATCATCTGGCTCACTCATCCCCAAATGGGTAGTTGAACGGCTTCTCCCTTGGCAAGACTTGTGAAACAGAACTGTGTCTTGTGGTCTCTTGTTCCAAATTCCAAAGGGAAATATAAGCCCACTTGTTTTTCAGTCCTTTCCCCTCCCCCGCTGTGTTCCCCCAACCCTCCGTATTTACATACTTGTCCTAGAACTAACTTAGTTTTTGCAGGAGTTTCTCTTCCACTTGCCCAAATTGAACACTCACAGACATTTCGGCTATGAACTGTTCACAGCCTTCCTTGGTGACTTGCTTGCAGTACCTCAGGTCAATATGACAGATATTTCCACAGCGTTTGAAGAAGGACAGGCACTGGTCAGTGACCTTATTGCAGTCTGCAGGGAAGAAGAAACCGCATGAAGTGACAGAAGACATAGCCCAAAGTCCTATAAATTCAGAGAACCAATAGTAGAGCCAGGACACACAGCTCTCCAGTATAGATGAGTCTTTGATGTCCCCCAAAGGAGGATGATTTCATCTCATCTACCAATTTCAAAGCTTAATAATATATGCTTGAAAAGTGTTTGGAATGTTTTGCCAGACATGGGAAGACATAAGTTTCTATTTGCAACACTACCCCTTCCAGTCCCCTACAGTCAGACTATCAGGTAGAAAACCACAGGGCTGCCTCTTCCTGTATATAGTTACACACAAAAATCACTATCTTATAAAAAGAGTCACACTGTCAAGAGGCTATTCTGTTGGGACTATACTGTTAGGTGAAGTATTCTCCCTTATCTGACTACACTGTTCAGATAAATTTCCTACTTAATATGGCTGGATCAAAGTTTCTCAGGTCATCTTGGGAGCATTCTATTTCACACCCCAGTAAATTGGTGACAGGGTGTTGCTTTTTTGCCCTCGACACACCTCTAATATGGAATATCTCCCATGAAGCCTGTGCCAAAAAACCAATATGCTAGAAGGGATTGAAAGGCTTTGTCCACAAGAAAAGACAATTCAATATATCCTGTAGGCATCAATTTTGTGTATTTTATAAATTATTCTGTATTTTTCTTTAACCATACTTTATAATTGAATCTATAGTTGATTGACTTAAATGCTAGCCAGTGTCCAAATGAGACTAAGCAAGATAAATGACTTCTAAGTGGATCATATGGATGAGAAAATGATTGTTGTATTAATTTTGAAACCTTTCCCTGGCCATTACTCTTCCCAGTTTTGATTAAAAATTAAGGCCAACTGATAATATGCACTATGAAAGTGATGGTGATCAATGTAGGCATTGTCAGTCCTGCAAACAGGAGCCTCATGCCAACACAAAGCCCTGAACATAGATGCTCACCAATTCTTGGATGCATAATTCAAACTATTTGAGGACAACACAATCTCACAAATGTAGCAAATAGGAATCCAATAAATTGCTAAGTCACGGGAAGATGAGTCATGCGCTGAGCAACATATGAGGATGGGATAGTTAAACTCAAGGGAGCAGAAATATGAGGACCCTAACAAAAAGATGCTTCCAAAACAATCTCTCCAATATATTGCTGCTGCTATGTTTTGAGTCTCAGCCTCTCTATGTATCCCTGGCTTGTCTGGAACTGGCTTTGTAGACCAGGCTGTCCTCAAAAATCACAAAAAACCTGTCTACCTCTGCCTCCAAGTGCTGGTATTATTGAAGATGTGTACTTCCATACCTAGCTCTGCTAAAAGTTAAACATGCAAATGACAATGCACATACACAATTACTTTAAAAAGTTATTCCCTTAAAGCTCAAAGTTTGATTCACTTTATAGAGGATAGAGATTTTTTTTGGTATAAAAAACATTTTCCATGCTCTTGCATTTTTTTCTCACTATGTCATGTGAAGCCCCATATTGAACAGGACCTTTTTAAAATAATAATTTATCCTCATTATCTTCAGTCAAAGCTGGCTGACTATAGGCTGTC